CTAAGATCATGGCCATTGGCCCCATCACCTCCTGGCAAAAAAAGGGGAAGATATGGAGGCAGTGACAGATTTTACTTTCTTGGGCTCCATGATCACTGCAGGTGGTGACAGAGGCCATGAAATTAAAAGACACCTGCTTCTTTGGAGGAAAGCTATGCCAAACCTCAACAGCATCTTAAAAATCATAGACATATCCTTGCTGACAAAGGTCCGCATAGTCAAAGCTATGGTTTTTCCTGTAGCGATGTATGGAAGTGAGAGCTGGACCATAAAGAAAGCAGACCGCCAAAGAACTGATGCTTTTGAATTGTGGTGCTGGAGGAGGCTCTTGAGCGTCCCCTGGACTGCACGGAGAACAAACCTATCTATTCTAATGGACATCAACCCTGAGTGCTCACTGGAAGGACAGATCCTGAAGCTGAGGCTCTAATACTTTGGGCATCTCATAAGAAGAGAAGATTCCCTGGAAAAGGCCCTGATGTTGGGAAAGTGTGAAGGCAAGAGGAGAAGGGGATGACAGAGGATGGGATGGTTGGACAGTGTCACCGAAGCTGCCAACATGAATTTGACCCAGGCAGTGGAAGACAGGAGGGCCTGGCGTGCTCTGGCCCATGGGGTCATGAAGAGTCGGACATGACTAAATGACTAAACAACAACAACAAGCAAAACAGGCTCAAGAGGGCAGCACCACACAGTGTTCTGAATGGTTAGATCAGCTTGTACTTGAAAAGAGCTTTGACATGGAACAGGTCAGTACAGCCTCTCAAGGCATTGCCGGTGCACCTGATTTCCTATTTCAATGTTGCTTGTGCAGCACACTTTCCCCTTGGCTTCCGAAATAAACTTGGGGAAGGGGAAAAAGTCTTTTGACAAACTGAAAAGCTATAATGATTACTGCCTGGCTTCCTTTCAGGGCATTGTTTCCCCCCAGATTACATAGTACAATTGTGGAAACAAAGGAACATCCATTATAGGAGCACCTGTTCTTTTGTATTTTAAGATGGTTTTCTTTCTTTTTTTCTCCTTTTGGCATGACCAGAGGACCGCAAATTCTAACTAAGAAGTCTGTTATAATTTCATACCATGGTCTTTTTTTTTTTTTTTTTTTAAGTGCCTAAATTTAGACTCTAAAACTCACCTCCAAGTAGTTAAATATAATGTCAGGTTTTCAAAAGAGGTAAAGAACCTGCAGTTCTCTCCCCGATTCACCTTTCAGATAAGAAACAAAAGAAGGATCCTAGATTGATTGAAGATCCTCAACTTAGGGATGCTATTAACCTTTGCACCTTAGTCAAATTACAAATTCATTACACTCTGCCTAGCTAAATATTTCCGGCAGTTTTAATTGGATTTGCTATTGCTAATCACATATAACCAACGTTGGCAAGTGCTGTAGTTTTTCATAATTCCTCCCAAGTGAGTAGAACTCTTTCTCCAGTAGTTCCACTGGCACAATTGGCTGCCAGGTATATCCTGCCTATGCCCTTACTTCTATGTTCTCCTCATACCAGCAGAGACCAGAGTTGGGACCATTACTCTTCTGGGTTGCAATTCCTAGCATTCCCCAGGCAGCACAACCAGGCAACTCCCAGAAGTCCCATGTATTGCTAGTGCTGTGCAGTTGTCAAATAATCTTGCAGTTTTCTAAATCCACATGTTCCTACCATGACAAACTTTTTCTTAATGAAAGTTTGGGCTGAATTGGTACGCAAACCTGCACAAAGAGCATCACATTCCCACCTGCTTCATGCACGGAAGCAGTAAAGCCTTCCAGAACATCAGCCACCCACATATAATATTATTTCCAAAGAGCTAATTAGGTTTATATTTTAAGACAGCAACCTTCAATGTTATGTCTTTGAGGGCTTGTAAAAAATGGCATCGGATATGACTGGGGGTATTTTAAATATATGTGGTCTCAGCATAATTAAATTGTCTTGGTCTTAATTACATTCCTATGTGATTGTTCTTCCTAATTATTGTGCAACTTGAGGAAAACCTCATTATCAGCACTGATCTGAGATTTCCGATATATTTAATAACACCACAATTCCAAAAATAGTGGCTGGAGGGTGGCGTCTCATTAAATCACGTCTTCCTTCTTATGTTTTGCAGTAAAGTTAGTGTCAAGCTGCTTGCTTACCTTGTCATCTAATTTTCGTGCACTGAAGGACAGCTCAACGTAGTCATCATTGCCTGATAATTCTTCAGCAATCACCTGAGTGGGGGAAAAAATCCTGGTTATGTTTCAAAAGAAAGAGGTGGGGGGATGAAATCTGGCACAGTGCCACTTACTAATGTTTGCCACAGAGATGCCAAAATAGAAATTCTTGTCAGGCTTCATGAATGCGACAGGTCCATTGCCAGGGAAACAAGATCAACAAACACCAATACAACTTAAAGGAGGAATAACACTTGATATCTGCATTCTTAGCTGCCACTATTCTCCAGACAATGGACTGTTAAGGGAAGAAGTTTATTTTGACAGCAACTGACCTCTTACCTGATTCACGCTCTGGAAGAACGTGCAGCACTCTTGAAAAGTTAGTTAGACTACAACATTCAGAATGCCCACTTGGCACAGCCAAAATGGCTGCAAGATTCTAGGAACTGTGGTCCAAAAAAGTAACTTTTTCAAAACAAAACAAAAAATTTAAACCCAGGTGGGTCTCCAGGGACACACTTGTGGAAAATTCATGTTTAGATGTATCAGAGGCATCACACACAATGCAGATGGCTCAGGTTGGGCCCAGAAGATTTTACTGCCTAACAGGGAATAAGTGGGGAACTTGGGGGAATGACCTGAGAGCCAGCCACATCTGCCCTTTTCCATTTTCTACCTGAGGCAGTTGTTTCACTCTGCATAATGATTACACCAGCTTCACCAGGAATGGAGAATGGCTGGATTACAACTCCCATCATTCCTTACTATGGGTATACTGGTTAGGGGCGATGGGCATTATGATATAACATCTGGAGGAGCACAAATTGAGTAGCCTTGACACACACGTTAACCAACAAAAGAGACTAGCATACACACTATAAAACTCTCCTTGACTATTTCAATATCAGTGGAAATGAAACTATATTTTAAAGTCCCCAACTTAATTAAAATCTGGAAGGTTCACTAAGAACCAAGCTAGATGCTGGTGGGAGTGACAAATGGCCCACTAATTGTCTGTTGGCCAATTAGCGACCAAGAGTAGAGGTGCAAGTCCTCTCCTTTTCACCCTTGTGCAGGAATTAAGGCCACATGAGAATTTCTCTCCTCACTGAGGGGTTTGGGGGCCAGTCTCAGAGACATTTTGAGACTGTTTTGTACGTTTCCTTAAACTGTAAATCCATGACAACTGTTGCCCTGCTGCATGGACTACTAAACAACAATAATGTTGTATGAATTACTGGTGGGCTTTTTGATCAATTGCCCATCCTCTTGTGCCTGCTGTGTGTGTGCATGTTTAGCAGTACACAAAAGGAAATAATATTAATTCTGCGGACATTGTGTGGAAAAACAACCACACCAGAAGTGCTCAGTGTTTTGCACTGGAGGTGAAATCTCGCACAGGGCTTGAAGAATACTTGACACAAGCTGTCTCACTGCACTGAGAGATTTGCTCTTGTCCAAACTCTTACCGACTGCAAGCTTTTTCAGGCATTCTTACTCAAGATAGGAGACTGCTGGGATTCTGCTGGTCCCCAATATCAAATGCCTGAAGGGCAAGACAGAGAGAGGTGCAACCATATGATTCAAACAAAACCACTCCTGCAGGTCACAGCCATAATGCTGCCATATTGTGCTGAATGTCTGGGAAAGCCTTTTACATGCTCACAACATGGGGCCATGTCACACATTCTACTAAATGCACATCACTTGGGTGGGTAGCCAGGAAGTGCATCCTGTTTCCCCAGCATCCATTTAAAGACAATTAGACCCACAAAGAATAAAGGTTTCATATTACATTTGAATGTAATTTCTCATCGCTTGAATTCTTATACACAGGATTTACAGTGCTACTACTCTGGATAGCGCTATGCCTAGTCACACCACCATAAAAACTTTTTAAAAATAAAAACAAAAGCCCAATGCCAGAAAAACTGACAAAATGCCCACCGGTATCTTCAAATTGATCATCCGTATGCATCAATGGATCAGTTACAGGTGCATACAGTCCTGAACTCACAGGATCTCCTTGCCTTTGTTTTTCACTGTCTGGATCAAAGCCTCAACTCACCATGAAATATGAAAATGCAGCATAGACTTCCAGTATGTGTTGAAACAAAACATTCTCTGTAAGAGTGTGCTTATATTGTTCTGGACTTTTGCGTGAACTCCCAGTTTCAAAGTTTGGAATGAACTATTCCCCTGCCCTATTAAATAAGCAAATCCAATAACTTTTAGCCATGAAAAATCAAACACCATTAAGCATAGCAACAACTGAATTAGCTCCTGGTCTGCTTAACATTTATCCACAACTTCAGTTCAGCTTTTTGTACAAATATTCCAAGTTCTGCCCTTTTTCTAAAAGCCAGCAGTGTCACATATTTCTGTTCATACATTTTAGACAAACATTTTTGACCATTTGCTTGCTTCTCCTAGTCTAGTCAAAACTACTATTTTAGGCTCACTGGCCAGATGGCACATGTTAATCCCATTTACATGATGGGTTTCAGGTCAATGGGGTTCATTTAATGAGGTTACATATCCATTTTAAATCCCATTACAATTTCTTTGAGTTTTAATATGCTACATTTTATGGCCACATTATTCTATTACAATATTGATCAGCTAGTACCTCAAGTCATGTGAAACTAAAGAAAATGACATAGTTTTCTTGGGTAAAAAATTATCAGTAATTGCATCCAATTATTCCATTGTGGTTTACAGACTTCAAAAACTGTGAAATTAATATAAGTAACTAATGAGTTCTGGACCAAAATGGTGATTTTTTTCCTTTAAAAAATGTACAGCAAAAGTTTCAATAAATTACTTTGAAATTAATTAATGGCACCATCTTAAAGCAAAAAAGCATATTACTATTGTTGCTGCTGTGACTTACATACCATCTCATAGTGATAGAGCATTTTGGGTCCTCTCGCCAGCAACCTGGGTATTAATTTTACCAGCCTCAGAAGGATGCAAGGCTGGGTGAACCCTGAGCCAGCTACCTAAACTTAGATTGTGAGAAGAGGTTTCACTGCAGTACTGCAGTTTAACCACCGTGCCACAGAGCTCACTTGATGCAATCTACTTTATGGAATACTTAGCTAGGAGTCAGGGCAGAAGAAGTCAAATGTAAACTAACTTTAAGGGGTTAAATGTAAATGTAAATCGTATCATTTTGTTTTTAATGTAAACCTGTATATTTAAGAAGTCAAATGTAAACTAACTTTAAGGGGTTAATTGATATCAGATTGCTCCATTAGATATAAGAAATGAATCTTCGCCACATTTTGGTTGTATCTACAGTTCAGAAGTACACAGTTCTAGTAGTTTGGTATGACTCTAGCTTCCATGGCTCTATCCTATGGAATCCTAGGGTTTGTTGTTTAGCCAGGAACTTAGAATGCTTTGGGACATTTGTCTGAATTACAGCAAAGCATTCAGTGTACCTCACCACATGACAAATCCCGAGATTCCATAGGATGATCCCACTGAGGTTAAAGCAGGTTCTAACTTCTGCAGCGGTGTAGTTTGTAGCATTTCCCCATATGGTGAAATATTTCAAGAACATTAGAGAAGCATACAAGACCTAGTTACATGAAAATCACAGAGGTAACAAGAACAAAATGTTCATGTTAGTGCTCAATATCCATATTATGAAAAATACTTTCTTTACATGGAATGCTTTTCTATAACATATTGGCACTGTCAATTTTTACAAAATAAAGGCCAAATTCCAACTGACATTTTTATTAGGCATAGCTGGGCAAAGCAGCTATGGGTAAAGCAGACATTATTCGAGCTGGGCAAAGCAAAGCAGACATTGCTTGAGCAATGCAGACATTGCTTTGAGAATTAAGTACAGTGGTGCGTCGCTTGACGACGATAATCTGTTCCATTCAAATCAATGTTAAGCAAAATCGCCGTCAAGCGAAAGTAAAAAACTCACTGAAATGCATTAAAAACTGGTTAATGCATTCCAATAGGTGAAATACCTCACTGTCCAGTGAAGATCCTCAATAGGGGAAGCCATTTTTGATAGCTGTCTTCCGTAAATACGTACAGAAAACAGTGGGAGGCCATTTTGAAGACCCAATGATCAGCTGTAAAGATTGTTGTGAAGAAAAAAAATCGGTTCCCAAAGCAGAGAACTGATCGTCGTAAAGCGGATTTTCCCCATTGAAACATCTTTTTGCGATTGCTATAGTCATCGCAAAACCTCATCGTTAAGCGATTTCAGTATCAAGCGGGGTAATCGTCAAGCGGGGCACCACTGTCTCTCCTGAGATTCAAGCGGGGCACCACTGTATTTGTTTTCTCCTGAGACAAAAGAAAAGCAGTAATATATCAGAGGGTCCTACCGTTATGGAAGACTTCCCTGCTGTGTTGCCATGTTTCAATAAAGATTTAGATAGTTTTCTTTGTGAAACAATCTATATAAAATGACAAGAAGGAATGTTAGAAAACAATGTCACTTTGAGACACGAGATGTAATTTCCATTAGAAAGATAGACACATGTGATTTAACACAGAATTATCTGAAAAAAGAGATATAATTCCATGCTACGTAATACTGCACTATTTTAACAATGAAGCATTTCATGAATAATATCCAAACAGATAATCCAGTGCAATGTAGAAGAGTATACAGAAACAGTTCTAGATATACTTATTAAAAATTAAGCCCTTTTGAAAATACACAAATGCATATGGGATTGTATAGATAGTATGCAGAAGCAGCATTCAACATCAAATTTCGCACGCATGTAGCCATTCACTACCATTCGCACTTGTTGAAAAACAGCCCTGACAATTATTTTGTGTTTGGTTGATAAATGGTTAACTGATGTAAAAAATGAGTCAGCTTCTGGAATTTTCCCCTGTATGGTGCTACTTTGTGAATGGTAGTGAGTAGCAGAGGGTATCCTGCCATTGGTGTTGCCAACATGTAAAGCTTAGCATTCTTTTTCCTGCTGGTAATGTGGGCACAATATTGTGCAGCAGTATTGCGCCATGCCCTGGCTTTTTGAATCATGGGCACAGAAGCACAATGTCCCACATTCATACATCAGAGGTTTTTGGAAGAACTGAATGGTACCACAGAAAGGCCACCAAGCTATCTCGAAGACAGTATCTCCCATTATGAACCAGCTTGGGTGTTAAGATCATCAGGAGAGGCCCTTCTCTCACTCAGTTTCACCACTTTCCCAGGTTTGTCTGATGGGAACACAGGGGGTTTGTCTGATGGGGACACAGGAGAGGACCTTCTCTGTTGTTGCTCTCAGACTTTGGAACTCCCTCCCACAGGAGGCCAGACTTGGATGAATCTTTGCTGTCCTTGCACAAGCAGGGAAAGACTTTTCTCTTCCAGCAAGATTTCCCTCAGTGACTGGCTACCTGCATTTGATTGTTAGATGGATTGTTATGCATTAATGCTTTGATTGTCTTCTTTGTACTGCTTCTGTTTACTATTTCTCAGAGTGAGTTATGCATTAATGCTTTGATTGTCTTCTTAGTACTGCTTCTGTTTACTATTTCTCAGAGCAACATTTGTTCCTTTTAAATATTTGTATACTTCTTGTTTTTAGCTTTATTATTATATTTTAATGATGTAAGCTGCCTCTTTATACTAATTGATTTTTAGCTTTAAATATTATATTTTAATGATGTAAGCCACCATTGTATACTCATTGTTTCATCTTTAAATACTGTCTTTCAAAGTAAGCTGCCTTGGGTCCTTTTTAAGGAGAAAAATGGGGTAAAATTATTATTGTTGTTGTTGCTGCTGCTGCTGCTCTTGTTGCTGCTGCTGTTGATGAAATTATTATTGTTGTTGTTGCTGCTGCTGATCTTATTGCTGCTGCTGTTGTTGCTGTTGATATTGCTATAAAACACCAGGCACAATCAAAATTATAAAAACATTGACTGGTATTATATAACAGATACAAGTTTTAACCCAAAACCTAAGTATCTGTTAAATATCAGCACAGTATGCCAATAACGATGTTCCTAATAGTGCCATTTTTTGTAGTCTGATGGTGTGATTTCTGAGATCTGCAACTGCTTATAGTACAGTGTGAAATTTCTTGATATTGTTCCCAAAGCCCCAACGACTACAGGGACCACTGAAGTATGTTTCATCCACAAGCAAGATGGTTTGATTGCCAGGTCTCTGTACTTTGTTAATTTTTCCATTTTTTTTTATTTTCAGCTCTGGCAACCCCCTAGAATTGCAGTGGCAATGATCCATACATTTCTTCATTCTATTACTACTATGTCTGGTGTGTTATGTTCAAGGTGTCTATTGATTTGGAACCAGAAATCCCACAAGATTTTGACTTCATTTTCTGACGCCTCTTTGGTTTTTGGAGGTTGGCAAGTTATATTTTTTGCATAATGACCAGTGCACTAATTTTGCCACTCTATGATGTCTAATTTTGTAATCTGTTTGTGCAGTTTTTGGACATTCGCAGATGAGGTGTGATACACTTTCATGTTTTTCTCTACAGAGTCGACATTTGCTTTTAGCACTAATTTCTTGTGTCTTCTTCTTCTTCTTCTTCAGTGATGATGATGATGATAGATGCTACCATTAGTAGCATCTCCACCTCTGGATCCCTAGACATTCCTGGAAGAATACATGCCAGTTCTTAGCTGAAAAAATATAATTACTTTCTAGAAATCACACCGTTTATCTAAAGTACACAACCACTTATTTAGAGCAGAACATTCTTGTTGGGACAGCTTTGTTTGAAATCAGCAGTTTCTGGTGAAGGTGCAAATCATTTCATGAATCTGCTTCCTAAGAATTTATTTATTTATTTATTTATTTATTTATTTATTTATTTATTTATTTATTTATTTTAATTTTTTATTTATTTGATTTATACCCTGCCTATCTGGACCAGTGGACCACTCTAGGCGGCATTTTATTTGATTCATCCATCCTCTGTACAGCACTTGTTTCACAATCTGGGATTTAGTAATGATCATCCACTTGGTTGTGAGAGGGGGAGGTTTGCCATTTTTCCTTTTTCACAAAGTGAGGAGAAGGAAATCCTTGTTATATTTATCATGTGGCATCTTCGTGAAGCTGTGTCAGTTTGAGGGTAATACTTTCCCTTCATTATGGAATACAGAAAACAACAAAATTAAGCTTTGATTGATTGATTGATTTGATTTTGATTGATATACAGTGGTGCCTCGCTTAGCGAGTGCACCGTATAGCGATGTTTCCGTATAGCGATCCCTTTTTCAGGATCGCTATA